TGTAGTACAGGCTCTTACAGGTTTAGGTGTGATGTGCGTTTCTGGCACTGAATGGCTGTTGTGCTCCACCACAGACAGAGCAGGACTCCATGCTCGTAATTTAGATAGCACATTATGATGAAGTACTCCTAAGTACTCATAATTGTTGTAATAAAGTGGTAGGCTGTATTTATTGTCAGTTAACTGATATATTCTAGGTCACATATTTGCATAGCTTTTTCAAATGTAATATTATGAAGAAAAAAACTGTTTACATACAGAGTGCTTTTTCTCAAACACTAGTTTCAGAGAGTGACTAATTAATTTGATTGTTGTTAACTATTGGGGAAATTACGGATTCACGTCTACTTATTGGCCCAGAGAATAGATCTCCCAAGAGTGGAGAAAAATAAAACAGTGCCACAGGGTCTTGAATCAATTTTGTCCTCACCTGACAAGCACAACACCGATGGCAGCTCTCAGTCGTGATAAAGGCCTCTTGTGACTTTCCAGTGTAAAGCTGACATTGAGTTCAGTTTTATAATTTGTTGGCAGTGGAGAGGACAAAAGTTTGATTCAAACCTCATCGCACCAACTTGAACTTGACAATTCATATCCTTCTTAGCTTCTTCCAGTGATCAAAGCTGTCCAGAACACAAGTAAAAATGCACACGCTGCAGTGGAAAAGTCAGATTACTCTCTGATATGTGCTGACTACTTTGACCATTGTGCAATTGTGTGTGCAATCCAGGCAAAGACAATTACAGAGCACTAACATTATTCAAATGGATGTTAAGGATTCCATTTCCCACAGAAGCAGTAACTCAGTTGCTCAGTTGACTACAATGAAGGAGCCTCGTAATAAGTGGTTGGGAATTCTGTGTTAATGTTCTCTCTACATTTCTGAAATATACTGTCTGTGCCTTTGTGTGTCTTAGGTAACAAGAAGCTTTTATTTTTACCTAAAAGCACTTAGTTTAAATAGTTGTCAGCTGACCCTTAAGTATGCAATCTGCAACAACGCTTAACTTGGATTGCTGTTTGATTTTAACAAACAAGCTGATGGATGGATGAAGATGTGTGTTTGATTTCAAAAGGATGCAAAGAATATTTTTTCAGTATGCTCATTCTTTCATACAAGCATACAAAAAGCTGTCAGTTTCTCTGTATAGCAACTATACAGTAGGTATAGATGCTATAGACTTGTGTGTGCTCCTGCTCTTTGATAACACATGAAATTTGTAATATAATATAGGATTACTTCTGTATCTTTAAGGGCCTTGGGGAAAAAGAAAAACTGAACTCCCTTTTTAGTTTTAGAACTAAAGAAATACAATTTTCCACTGCAAAATTATATATCAAGTCTTTATGTAACAGCTCAATCTGGCAGCACTTTAACCTAGTTTGACTACAACACATTTCCCATATAAATGTCTTCATTGAGTGTGTAAACAAAAACTACGAAGCTCCACATCTACAGAGGTGGAAAAACCTTTCTGCTTCCAGCAGGCTTCAGCTTGTGTGCCTTCATTTGCAGCTCTGCGTGCCAGACAGTCTCAGGGGTTTATTGTGCTTTCACCACACCTGAAGGAAGCAACAGGTAAACAGCAGGTGAACTGGAAAATAATCAGGGCGTTTTAAGATGGACAGTTTACCAGTATAATCAGGCAAGCAGAAAGGGTACAACTATCACTGATCTCTGACAAGAACTCAGTTGTGCTAGTGGTTAATGTGACATGTTCATCAGATATCAATTTATTGTCTACACATTTTTTAAAATATCCAAACTGATTCCTTTTCTTTTTTTCTGTCAAGTGTTGTTTTTAGTTACTTAAAGCTATAAATTGCCTGTGTTTCAGAACAACAACAAAAAAAATAATTCGGAAGAAAACTAAACTTGGCATAATGCCCTTGAAACCTTTTTTTCACGTAGCATTTCAAATACCACATACTGGATGAAAGGGATGCTGGGACAGATATAATCGTAGACAAACAGACCACATGGCAGGAGATCTGATCCCAAGTTTCTCTTTCGTATTTTTTTTCCCGCATGTCGTGACTTTTCAATAAGACATAACTGGGAGATAAAGAAATTCTGATGAGTCCGTTTCTCATTTTCTTATTAATAGCCCCACACTGTGGGAATGGCCTCTAAGGAAAATGATGACCTAAAAGCACATCTCTGGTTTGCACAGCAAATTGGAATGGAACTGAAAATCACAATTTGCATAATCTGACGTAGTACAAATAAGGGTTCCTTAAGGAGTCGTTACATTATCGCTTGTTCATAACTGTTTTCTTTTGCAGTAAGTCAGTTATTATCTCCCATCTTTGAGCTGGCATCAAAAGGTTGTCTTTGTATTTCATTTATGGTATATACTGTATAGCACCTGCTAAGAGAATTGGCCTTTGGGAAATCCTGTATTTTCCTTTGCATGAATTTAACACTGACATAAGTAGTATGCATTTTGGCCTCTTGGAAATATATTTAGGTTCCTGGATAACTGCGGGGTCGGATGTCAGTTTCAGGTCTACAATTCCAATTCCATGAATGGAAAAAGGGAAAGGAATTAGAAAATCGGTCTGAAAGAAGGAATTGGCCCCAAACTTGGACAACTGTAAGAGAAAACACTGTCAGAAAAGCATGTTTTATTGTAGAATGTTTGATGCCAGATCATTAGGAGGTTGTAATATATTTAATGAGATTTTTGTTTCTTAAATCAATACTATAAGCTTGGATTTTTATACAAAATCTTCCTTAAAAATTCTTATGCGGTTCTTCTTAGCATTGGTCTCAAATGGTTGCATTTTAGAATCTATCCAGACTGTCTGATAACATACAGATGATTCATATTCATTCTACAACATGAATAATTCTATTGGAAGCTTTTGATTATGATAGTAAGACTGAAGAAATTGGAATAGCCTCTTTTACGGATAGATAAACAGAATTTCAATATATATGCAAAGAGTGGTGAAGAAACCAGGGGATACTATAACTGCAAAGGGAGAATTTAACCTAATTTCAAAGTCAGCAGCAGTGCACATTGTATCCGATGAAAAAATTAACTTTTATTACACAGCCCTTTCTAAGAGAGTTAGACAGTGGATCACTGGCATCTCCAATCAGGTGGCTTCCCAGATACAGTACTCAATTGAGCATTCCCACCTTCAAGCAGAATGAAGCAGAGTTTTAGTCAGATCCCTCTTGATCGTTCTGAAAGCTCTGGTGCAGCCTGGCTTCTATAGATTATTTCCCTCTTTGTCTTTTACACTTGCGTATTCTGCCATAAACGTTCTGGAACCTAATGTCTGGAAAATTAAATGACGTCAATTCCATTGGAACCCTTGTATGTCTGTGGCACAGATCCAAACTGCTGCATCCAGACTTGACAGATCAATGTTGTATGACCATTACTGAATCAGTGTGCAAGATGCAGCAAGGAAAGTATTCCATTTTCAAATGACACTTAAAAAATCAGATTGGATCCTCTGCTCAAAGGCCTTTTTCCCCATGAACAAAAACCATAGCTACACACAGCTTGGGTTCCTTAGGTTACAGCAAGATGTGTTTTTCCCAGTTATACTGAAGGGCTGCTTTCAAATGCATTTTGAGAATTTTAAGCGCGAGAGTCTAATTACTACTTATTTTCACCCAAGTGGAATCAGAAAAGCATCCAGGTCCTGTTTTTTATCTTTCTTTTTTTACGTCCTATTTCCACAATGTGAAACCAACATTTTCTGAATGGATTTTTGTTGCTTTTACCCCCGAAGCTAACCTCACACAATCTCCCTTCTGCGCAGCCTAGCCAACACAGCAAAAACAAACGGCTGCATATTTGATTCATAAACCCACAGAGCCATAATCTTTTCCTACATCTTTATTTCCCAGTGTTGAAAACATTTTGTGTATTTGTCTTACAGGGTAAATAATGCCATGGTAATTGCCATCAACATCAATTATCTGAAATATAACTACAGTAATTATATTTTACATTTTTATGTAAAATGTATTTTATGTACTTATTTTTTAATTTTATAGTGCTTATATTCTATTACACGTCTGAAAGATGCATGTGTGAGACTTGCTTTGGTATATTGCTATAGCCAACAGTTACTAACAAAAACAATAAATATATACTGTATATAAATTGTGTTTTGGAGATAAGTCCTTCAGGTGTTTAGAATTGAATGTAGCCACAGTGTTGTTATTCCAACATTGCTGAACATTTTTCTGTCCAAAACATCCTGAAGCAAATTCTTTTTTAATTTGTGTACAATAAAACATTTTATTGCAATCATGCATCTGTGCACTGAGGTCCAACCTCTATATTTTAATATATATATATATTTAAAGCACACAGAAGATAAGTGCTAAGAGATGTGGAGAACATAAGCATGCCTGAAAAGCACTGTACTGTGGGAATAGTGGAACGAGATGATCTGTTGCAGGTGATTTCTGAAAAGCCTTCATAAATCTTTGAACATCAAACATGAAGTTGCTTTAACCCCTCATACAGCATCAGAATTTTTAAATTATTGCTGTTTAAGAGATATGATTAATTTTTAGAATGTAGTCCGGTGCTGATAGTGCAGAAGTTTTGCATTTTGCACCTTTTGCCTTTCACAAATAATAAAGAATGATCTAAATTTTAATTACATGGAGCCTGCCAAATTTCTTTTCAGACTCCGAAAGAAAATATAGACTTCAAGTATATCATTGGCTCCTGTTTGACTCATAATGTGTACCTTTATATAAAAAATATACAGATGAACATTCTCCAAATATGAGATAGGAAAAAACAAAATATACAAATAAGTTTTTGCAATTATTTGTATACCTGTCATTGTCTCATAGAATGAACTCGCTTCCAGATAAGGGTGGGAGCACCAGTTCCATCTACTGTAGCGTTGTGATTGGGTGAAGAGCTCATTGATTTTCATACCCAGAATTCATTTCCTGTTTATCAAACATGGTCAAACTCCTAAAAAGCTGCTTTCCTTTCTGTCTCGATTCATAGGGATCTTGGCACACCGGCTTGGCTTGGAGACGTGTACTCGCTCTGTCCTCCTTCTGCCCAGCGAGGCTGTCAGTCCGCCATGCCCTCAGCCCCCTGCGTCTGCCTCCTGGACAAGGAACATCTGCTTCAGTAGGATGCTGGCTCTCGCCTGGTGCCACTCGCCCGCTGCTCCGCCTGCACCTCTCGCCATCCTCCCATCTGCCAGCGCCTCCACGCTCCACCATGAAGGATGAGGTCATCAACAACAACGCGTTGGCCTGGCTGGTCTGCTCGGGGGTGTCCATCCTGGCCAACACCTGGGGCATACTGAGTGTGAGCGCCAAGCAGAAGAAATGGAAGCCCCTGGAGTTCCTCATCTGCACGCTGGCTGGCACTCACATCCTTAACATGGGCATCCCCATCACCATGTACTCTGTCATCCAGCTGCGCCGCCAGCACTCCAATTATGAGTGGAATGAGGGGCTGTGCAAAGTCTTTGTGTCCACCTTTTACACCCTCACACTGGTCACCTGCTTCTCTGTCACCTCCCTCTCCTACCACCGCATGTGGATGGTCCGCTGGCCGGTCAACTACAGGTATGGGTAAGAGCGTGTGCCACTATTACTTCTTCTGTGTTGGTGCCTTGTGACTCTCCTTTCCTTTCCCGTCTGCCCTGTGTGCTCCTTCTTTCCTGAATGAATATTCCCAGCTGGCAGGTGGCAGAAAGTTCTCTTTGGAGATAACTTGGGTTATCTCTTTTGATAACTTGGGTATAAAGCCATTAGCTTTATACCCAACATCACTTGTTGAAATCGTGATGTGGCAGTGACCTCGATTTCTCGAGTGGCAGTGGACAGCTGGTAGAGTGCCACTTGGGTGTGGTGGCCATTAGCCAACAAGGGTCATCTTGGCTTTGGCAAAGCAACTGTGACTTGCTAGATACCTGCAAGCAGTGATGTCAGAGAGAGATTTCCCACTCCTCCAATCAGAATTATCTCTCCTTTAAAGCCCAGTGGAGACTACAGCATGTTAAAGGATGGAGTGTTCTGATAAGTGGGCATGTCATAAGAGCAATCCTGCCGGGCCTAATTCTCTTCAAGTTGGTTTTGGTGTATTTGCCAGAAAGGAATTTCCTGATTGGGTGACTATTTAATACAAAATTCCTTATTGGGTGGGTATTTATTACAAAAATTACGATTATTACGATTCATATTTGTGTGGAAATATATTCCCTATATAACATAATTTGATCAGGCTAATTTGATCTGCTCTCTAAGATAAAACCTGTTTTAGATAAATGTAATTTTAGGTGGTAAATGTTATTCTGTACTGATACTAGAGAATATGAAAGCATTCTCACAGGCCAGTATGCTGCATTATTTTGTTGCTATTAGCTGCTACTGGTTTAGCTACTGTAGCTGGTTTACATCATGCCATTTTTAAAATTTCCATTATTAAATAAATGATCCGGTCAGAAGGACATCACAAACAGACACTCACTCTCTCCCAGCTCCTTTCCACATGCTAGTTTCCCCAGTGTCTTCTCTAACTCCCCCCTCTGTCTCCTGAGCCCTACAATCCAGAGTACTGCAAGAAGCTTGGACTGGCAACAAGCTTTGCCATTAACAGATTCTCTGAGACAGGATTTCTTTATTAATTGGCAAGGCAATTAATTGCTTCTTTCTGACACAGCAATAAAGACAATCAAGACAATAAAGACAATGTGTTGGAACTGCTTCTGTCCAAAGCCATAAAGCTGCTACAAGATTAGGAGATATACAAAGCTACCATTAAATGCTGATGTAAATTGTTACATTTTCTACTAGATAAGATATTACACAGCCTGGCCAAATTTGTTTACCCCCATTAGAATTTAAAATTTACTTTAATTCGGTTAAGTCTATGTTTGCAAGGCAGATCAAACAGTTTTGTCCACTGAGCTTTTACTAAACAGTGGTTTTAATTCAGAGGTGATATATTTTTTTTAAGTGGCTTCTGCATTTCTTCATTCTAGTATAATAAAATACAGTGTGGTGCTTTCATGATACACTATCTCCTGTTAAACCTACAATTTTGTTTTTCAAACAGGAAAATGAAAGTATTCTGTCTCATAGTGTCTGGTTTAATGGATCTTGTTGACAAACCATTTAAGAGGTGACCAGTCTTGATAGGGGTTAATCATGTTTGGGGCATTTGGTTGTCTTTTAATGAGCAAATTCTTAGGACCTAGTTAAATCCCTAGTCTGGCCAATGGACTCGTGTAGTTGTAGCCAATGTAGTTATTTTTTTCTTCGGAATGATATGCAAAAACTGCTTTAACCGCTGTAAGACTGGGTCTGCCACTCCTGATAGCATTGTGCTGTGTGTTTAGTTCTGCTCCCTTGGTTTGGGTAGTTTCTTTGGAGTCAGCTGTGAAAACAGACGCTGCTTTGGCAGAGCACGCAAAGCTATTACTGCAGCAGTGGAACACCGTGAAGGAAGCCCAAACGAAAATGAATGACTCCCAGTAGAAAAACCTCCTTATCATTTGTCTTCGCTGTAAAACAGTACATGATTTGACAGGGCTCCCAAAGCTGCATTTAGAAATCCTGCGTGTGCTGAGGTGACAAAACTCCATGCGGCTCTAAAATCCCATTTTACTCCAGCCAGCTAGTCTCCAGCCAGGGTGTAAAGGAACTGTTCCCCTTACTGGTATTATTGTTACTGCATGTATTCTGCACTGCTGTTGACATCACAAAGCTAAAAGTATTTTTCTCAACACTATCCTGCAGAATTTGTTATATGTTTTTAAAAATATACCAGATATATTTATATTATGTTATTCACAGAAACTATTTGGTAATCTAATTGGGTTAAAATTTGCTAGTGTGGAAATTAAGTAGTGCGAAGTGGTCAGTGCTCTGGACAGTAGGGTAATAGGTTGAAATCCCCCAGGTGGGACAGTGCTCCTGTACTCTTGAGCAAGGTGCTTCATTCAGATTGGATCACCAAGTGCCCTGCTCTATAAATGGGGCTGTAGATTGACTGTCAATGAGAATTTGTTGTCAATCAAATTACCTTGTTGAAGAAAATAAAGGTTATATCAATGTACAACACTGCTGCAACTTTTCCTGGGTTTTCCCCATCGACATGCTCTGGTAACAAAACTTAACTCAGTTACTATTTACTGTTTACTCCTCTCTTCTTCCCTATAAAGAAGAGTCTGATCTAACCACACCAAGCAGCACAGTGTACTGGGGAGCTGAGGTTATTGACACACAGGCTGATTAGTGTTGTAACACAGTAATAGACATTTTGCTTGCTTTGTTGTTGTTTCATTTTGTTCAAGACTTTGACAATAGCCAATTTTCTGTGATTTGTGCTACGTGTAATTGCCAGTTTTGTCTTTACATAAGTTCTCTATCTGCCGCAGTAACCCTAATTTGTTTGATAGAAGGCTAAGGAACTGTCAGACATTCTTCAAGCAAAAAGAGTCTTCCTTTCCACTCACAGGGTAACCCCAGTAACGACTAACTCCTTGTTAGACAGCTTTTTCATTAGAACGCACAGTAGCAGCCATGGCAACATCTGAAATCCACACCTTCTTCAGCAACTGCTACTTGTTTCCTGTGTACAGAAATGTTTGCAATATTGATCACTTGCATTTTAAATCAAATAAAATGAACAGGTAAGCATTAACTAAGTCATAACAAACCATAACCGTTCTACTGAAATTATCTTCTGGCTTGAATATTCTTTTAATAGCTGCCTGAATAAGTAAATGTGTTTTTTTAATGAGGTACATCAAATAGACAAGAGTTCTCTGTCTGCAGCCCAGTACAGTATATGCAGATTTTCTGCCTGTAAGCAGAAACATCATTAACAATTATTACAATGTGTTATGAAGCAAACCAGTGTGGACAAAGTGCTGCTGACAAATTGTGTGCTACTTTCTTCAGAGCACTTTACTGCCTTCTATAGATCCCAAAGGAAGACAATTCCATTACTGGAAGAAGAGAGAATCCAGGCATTTCAGGGTATCTCTCACTGGGATTTTTCAATGACAGTGTTTACACAGGGGAATCCATTTAGGCATTACGTTTTCTTTTTTTTTGGGACACATGCATCTGTTTTTGTGCTATTCAGGTAATCAATTTTCATCTGCAGTGACAGCTCAGTGTGCTGCAAATTGCATCCTTTTTAGATATTAAAGAAAATCTAACAGGAATCCCTGAATGTAGCATTATTGTTGTTATTTTGCAGAAAGATGTAATAATTTATTCTGGGTGTCAGTTTAGATGAATAAACACAATAAATCCAGCTTATTGTACTCCTGAACTAATGAAGCTATAATGTGTGCATGCCAATTTACTGACACTTTTACAATTTGCCTTTTTCATCAGCAAAATCAAAGGTATTGTCTCAAAGCTGGTACCGTATATGGGGATATGTGAAGGGGAAACAACTATGTTGCTTACTCTACTTTGAAGCCCATTGGTGAAGCATTCAAGCCACAGCATGTGCCAAAAGCCATGAGTCACAAATGTCCTGTCCTGCTCTGGTTTAGACCCAAAGAATTGTTTTCGGACAAAATCTTCCTTCAATAAGCAACAGCTGATATTCAATAAATTCACATGATAGATGATGGACAAAATCAAATAAAAAAACTTGATTTCTGTTTTCTGTCACTGATAATGTAAATTACTAATATTTACAGTCCTCTTATTTGCTTAGCAGACCCTTAGTCAAACCTGTGCAGATAAAAACACGTGACAATCTGACATCAAAATTACGTTCAATGCAACTGCAGTTGATTTGATCCAGAGCTTCTCCTACTGTACATCTAATTTAAGCCTCACCGCTCTTACTGTGTCATGAGGCTTCAGATTGAATTCTTCACCTCTCGGATTCTGCACATTCCTAAAGCTCTCTTGAGAACCAAAGTCTACCCAAAAACTGAGGACATATTGGGGTGCTTCCTGCTTAACAAAGGACAAAGGAGCTGGAGACACAATACAAGAAGATGGTGAGGCGAGATGAAAATCACAGAAGTGGTGAGAGTGATGTAGGTGACAGTATTTCACTAATCTGCCATTGTTTGACCAAAAATGCAGGCTTTCCAGCAAGGTTATTATTATTTACTGTTCACAGCAAGGATCCCTTTGCTAAATATTTTCAAATTTCAGATTACGTTTCAGGGGGATCAAGCTACTTGTGTTTTTAAGACTTTGGTGTTGTTTCTTGTGCAATAAAGCTCTGCTCCCTGCTCACTTGTTGCTTGGGCATCTACTTCAACAAGATATTGTGACCTGCTTTTAGTTTGGTCTTCAATCCAAAGTGGCATTCATACACATGCAGCTAACGTGTTTTTATGAAATTTAGAAATGTCAACTATTTTTGTTTTTATTCCCCTCAGGTTTGGGATGGCCTATCATTGGGCCAATGTGCAACGTGCTGCAGCAGCCCTCCTGCCAGCTTAGGAGTGCTTTCCTCCAAAACATTAACTGTTAGAGCCACCAACCTTTTCTCATACTGGCAGTCATGCAGCATCATCCAGTTAGGAGTTAGACTTAATTGGAAAGGTGACACGTCTCATTGACAACACTGCAAGCTCATACTGTAGGTACCTAGAAAATCATAACAGCAAGTCTCATGCAACCTTCCAGACTCATGTCCACCAAAACTACCAGTGCTTGGCCAGTCATAGAGCACTACTTGGGGATTTTTATATGTAACTGCAGCTGAGCCTAGATGTAGACCGAACCATTAGGCTCAGCCTCTGCTGAGAATTAGCACCTTCAGTGGTTGAGCCCTTCTGTCATCAGAATGATGAATTTGATGCGTTCGTTCTACTCCAAGAGATCATTACCTGGTGATGTGCCGTTTCTTGTGCTAGCAAATCCTTTTGGGAAGGACCAGGGCTTCACAGCACCAGGTTTTCTAAGTTCCAGTTTTCCACTGCTCAAACCCTACTTTATAACTCCCTGCTTTTATTCTGCACTAGCAGTTGAGCTCTGCCTACAGTGAAAGACAATGGGAATGCCTTCAGCTGGTACACAGTTTTTATTCCTTTTTTCTAGTATAAGTGAACAGGCTGTAGTTGCCAAGCTTTTGCTTTGCCTTTCACTGTCAAGAAAATTAAGTTAAAAGAAAAAATATCAAATCACTCTTTGCATGGCTGACCTTTCATGTGAGAAATGCCAGTCAATCCCCATGGGTTTCATCCTCAGCTTGGCTGCAAGAACACTAGTCTTAAGTAAGAACTCAAATGTTTCCGCTGTGACTACCACTTAACTCAATGTGGTAAAACGATAATTTTTTAAAGTTGTATTGCTTGGTCCTTGGATACTGTGTTCTTCATTATCTTATTGCTTTGGAGCTTCATTAAAAAAGAAAGGAATTACAATAAGGTTTGTTCTCTTTCCAATACACTTATTTTGGCACAGACAACTTTTTAATCATTTAAGTGATTGATAATTAGAAGGATCAATAAAATGGTTAATATAGCAGTTGTATTAAAGTGCAGTACAGCAGTGGATTGGGAGAGATGCTTTGACTTAAAACATGCGTTGACCATCTGAGAGGAGGAAAACAAGACTTCAACCTCCATTTAACCAGACGCAAAATACATCATCACTGGACCACAACTGCACAAACACATTCCTTTGTTTTCGCTCTTACTCTGCTTTCAGAAAAGAACTGAATATAAAGAGGGCACCAGGATAGTGCAATTAGGTCTGTATCTCCATTCACAGTGTGACTGGCCCGTTCATAAGGAATCAAACCTGGGCTGGGCCTCCTTCCAATGTTCCACCATTGTGGGCAAGCTGTAACACACCCTCGGATAGACTGTTAGTCCTTCTAGAGCAACAGTAGTTTTATCCTTGATCTCCAGTTAGCAATCACTTTATCTTTTTCTCCTTTGAATAAACTCTGTAAAATCTCCAAAATATCTGTCACAGGGCCCATCATTTCCCTGTATGATAATATCTAATGCTTTCCTGTCCTTTCCAGAGAAGTGCTTGACCTTATCCACTGTACAATGTAGTTTGCAGACTGTACCTCTTACTTCTCTTTTGCTTTATATGAGGCTAATTGTATTCACAAGGTATCACATCACACGATTGTTTGACTCTATCAGTCAAGAGTAATGTAGCGACTCCTGATGCTCTCGGAAGGATCCGCACTGGAACAGTTTCTTCAAATAACATCCCTCCTTTTCCCTGTGCTGCTGTGTTTTTCACCCAGGTTGAGCAACACCAAGAAGCAAGCGGTGCACACGGTCATGGGAATCTGGATGGTGTCCTTCATTCTGTCCACTCTGCCTGCTGTGGGCTGGCACGATACCACCGAGCGCTTTTACACGCGGGACTGCCGCTTCATTGTCACGGAGATCGGCCTGGGCTTCGGGGTGTGCTTTCTGCTCCTGATCAGCGGCAGCGTAGTGATGGGAGTGGTGTGCATCGGAATCGCCCTCTTCCAGACCTTCTCCATGCAGACGGGACACAACGTTGACAAGAACAAGTTCAATGTGCCCACCATTGTGGTGGAGGATGCCCAGGGGAAGAGAAGGTCTTCCATTGATGGCTCTGAGCCCATCAAGACCTCCCTGCAAATCACCTATTTAATCAGCGGGATAGTTTTTATCTATGATTTCTTAACTGGATTCCCCATTCTGGTGAGTCCTACGCCAGGTATAATTTCATGTTTTTAAAAATATGAGTCATGTATTCAGGTAATGCTCAATACTAGCCTTTCAGTGTTCATTAACCAGCCAGGTAACTTACAGGCACCTGTATGAAGAGTGAATATTCACACCTGTGAATTTGAAGGTAGAATTCTTCTAATCGTACCTGAAATAGGTGTCTAGTGTAACTCTTCATGCTACTAGAAAATACAGAACTCGTACTGGTGAGTCTGAATTTAATTAAAATCATTACTTTGCAAAAGTGCCAAAGTGTTTTATTTTTTAAAACAAGAGCAGCCAATGTGATATACAACACAGCGATCTGCGTCTGTGTGTGTTTGTAATGAGGTCTGTGCTGTGAAATTGTACATTTTGAGTGAACTTTTCTAATTAACTTGTGTAAATTGTTTTTGTTGAAGTATCTTAGGAGGAAAGAAAAAAGCTGGCTTTCGTTCTCTCACATTAGTTTTTTCTAATATTCTTGAGGTTAGTCCAATAACTGAAGCGTTCCAAAGATGTTTTAGAGCCACCTTTGCCAGTACATTTAATTAGGTTCACAGAAAGTCAGTAGAACAACTTTAAGATGGGTCAGCCCTTTATGAAAAAAACGCTCTAATAATCAATAGCCCAGTTTCAGTCATTTGAACAGATTCCAGCCCTCACAATTATTATTGGGCCTTTGACTGCTACTGCTGAAATGTTGGTCCAGTAATGTATTATGACAGCATGGTCTTGTTTTTAAATGCTTTAAAAAATATTAACTCAGGTGCCCCATCAATTTTTAAAAAGATCTACTTACTTGATATGATTAATGGACAGTTCAGGTCCTGGAGAGCCAGTCTTTTCATTCCAACTCATCTTTTAGTAACCTAAATCAGCTCATTATTTGCTTAATGGGACCAATTCAACAGCTTCTCTCAGCTCTTCAGCAGCTGGTACTTTGAGGAGACCTGAAAAACCTGCAGATAGACCAGCCCCTCTGGGATAAGGATTGGATGCCTCTGATTTACTGTGTTATTTAATTTCTTAGGTAGAGGCCGCAACAGAGCATACGTGATTAAAATAAAATTCAAAAGCATGAGCGCTATGGCGATGAGAAGTACCAAGTAAAACAAAGCTATGTATTGCAGTCATGAACGTTCATTCAGGGCAGCTGCACTTAAGGAAACCTGACATTGCCCAGCCATTGTAATCCAATGGGAGACCTCAAGGATTGGGTAATAGTATAGTATATATAGTATATATAGTATCATTGTTGTTTAGACTAAATACAATACAGCAGCACAGTGCCACCCACTGAGATATATGTACAGTTAAAAAAAAACTGGAATCACCAGGTCCGAACAGTGGAGTTTGTGGCTGTATTTAAATTTCTTGTCAGTAATTATTCTTGTAATAGTTACTAGTAGACAAACTGCAGTTGACTTCCTAGTGCAGTACAGTTAGACTTCTAGAGATGCTGCTAATATTTAGTATGCACCAGACAGAATGTAGCCGATACTGAAATTCCCATCTTCCCTTTCAATTAAATCACTAAAGCCAAAGACAATAGTCAGTGAATTGTCATGGAATTCATAGTGATATTGCCACAAATAATTTGGCAAATCTAACAGAAAAGTTACTGTCAACGTATTGATAGCAATAGTTAAACATTTCTGCAATTATAACCTGAGGCACAGCTGGTCTGAGTGAGTAATTGGCAGTCAGAGGGAGTGAAATTCCACATGAGTGAAAAGAGCTGGTGTGATCTGTGTGGGACTGACCACGCCTCTGAGCTAATAAAGAGGCTTATAAGAAGAGCTAGGAGGCAAATGGGTTTAGTAGCAGTGTTCTTTCTCAAGAGTGTAGTTTAGATGGGAGTACATGGTCTTAGTCAATGTGACAAGTTAGAGAGACAACAATAACAAGAACAAACCAACTTCTGCTGTGTCAAGGGTACAAGTGTTGAACACAGAGTGCTGTCCCTGGCTGAACACAATCACCTGGGACAGCTGGCGATGAGGAGACCTGTTAGTGAAGATTTGCTGAAAGAATAGGGGGTGGGGAAACTGAGTTGAAATCATGGTTTTAGTGAGGATTGTGATTGGGCACACAGTCTAACTGAATACTGTAGTGGCTGGTTGTGTTAAAGTGAAGATTTAAGATCTGAGAGACATGGAGTTAAGCAGGTTGAATGTTCTGATGTGTTTGATGATTAATGAAGACAAAGAGTGAAGCTGATGAGAAAATCTAGTAAATGTGATGCAGTGCTTACTGACTTATGAAGATGAAGTTAGTCAGATGATCCAGTAGTGACATAAGTAAATAGAGGGAACGGAACAAGACTGCAGACTTCCCTGAGAGGGGAGCCCTGTGAAAGAACTAGCTTCATGCATGTAGTCTGAAATGAGTGAGAACTTAAAACAAGAAAATGGGGTGACTTCCCAGCAGTTAGTGGTGTGTAGGCTGACAGTTGTCTCAGGCAATGATTGTCATAAGCCCTCTGTACATCTTCAATATACAGTACTGGTTGAATAAGCCAGCTCTATTTATAAGCAAACTATAGAGAATCCATCAGGAATTGCAGCTGTTCCATCTCAATTATTGAGACCTGACGAGTTCCACCTTTCTGCTCCATGTCTTGTTTCCAGTGCTCAGACAGAGCCGAATCTTTATTTTAATGGCTGCGGCCCTGACCTCTTTCTGCTCTTCCTATCCCTGTCCACCTCTGCCTCGTATCTCCAGACCCCATTCAACATCAAATGCGTTGCTTTACGTTTTTCGTGTTCTAAGGTTATTCTTGATTAGTTCTCAACTCCCTGATTCTGATGCTGAGTTTGAGAGGGGGAAGCTATCAGACAGCAGTATAAAGCCACTTCAGATTTTAATGTTCCTTCCTTAATCTTTTTTGCCGGCCATTGTTGCAGGGGTAGATGGATTGAAAGGTTCTGTGACATCGGCCACCCAACTCAATTATCTTATTGGTTTTCTTATGTCAGCAATAGCAGAGAACTCTGAAACTGCAGTGGAGGTCAGGTATTTCTCTGGAGGCTTGGTTTGATGAAGAGTGCTGCAAAAGAGAAGCACTATCATGCTTGATTACAATACAAGTGTCCTCCAGAGGAGAGATCTTTGACGAAGCATCTTTTTATTTGCTGTTGTTTTAAACAGACTTTTTCAATTAACTCAGTTTCAGGCTGCAAACTAGGTCAGCTGAAGAGTGCACTATTAATTCAGTGTGGAATGCAACAGCTGCTATCTTTGTCCCGCACTATTGATTCCATGGGACACATTTGGGTTTACAGAAAAAACGTGGTTTTCAGACACAGGCAAATGAATTGGGTTACTAACATCAAACAGATCACGTGGATGTTAATTCAAATGTGTGATTATCAACATTTCTACTGTGTTGCTTTTCTCTTCTGAAAATCTGCTCTCTGTAGTTAAACTGCAATGTGCACAGAGGTTTATAACAGCACTGTCATTGGATAATTCATGTGATTTGTTGAGTGTAGACTGAGTTTTTCCTAATGCCAGGAGTTTGTGCTTAACAGCTTGCAGATTGCCTAATGGTTTGGTGTACTTGTATGTCAGGAAACAACTGTCCATCCATCCAGCTACAATAGATCTCCTGTGTGTCATTTCAAGAATGTATGAGGTCTTAGATCAATAAGCTTCAAATAAGCATGAGGTGCCAAATGCATTTTTCCTGTTTGTATTCCTTCTTATGTTTTTTTTACTCTTTCTCCAATGACAATTTCTTGCATGTGCTAGTGGACAGATCACCAGACTGGATCATACCGTAGTGCTCTGGTTTGCAATGCAGGTTGTACTAGTTATTTTATTTTGGATTGGAAGGCAGTTCTGGTAAAATTACTTTTTGTCCAGGTACAAAAAGAGGCTTAGAGAACTATTAAGACTGTTCTGCTCAAGTGACTCTATCATCCCAGTGAAGAAATTTTGATCTAATGAGTGTGCAATCTTTTGTCTTACTGGCAGTGATCATAGCTTGTCTCAATATAATTATTATGGAACCATTGAGAAGCACAACATGTGCCAATGATGCTGTTAAGTAAACGGTGACAGCTTAGAACTTGCTGGTGGAATTTATTGCGCACTCTGCAGGTTGTATATTATTACACTATAGCATATACTGTACATATATGCTATATACTGCTACATATAGTACCTGAGATCTTGAGGAAGCAATGGTCCTAGATTGACCAGAGCACATCCAAAGAAAAAGTTCTTGCATTACTAATTAACTCTGACATTAATTATACAGACTGAGTTTACATACCAGAGTTTGTATTCTGTTTGCTCTAGGAGACAGCATTTCGGATTCTATAATGACACCTGCTCTAGTACACAGTGTGGATTGTCAGAAACTGTGCTGTCTAATGTCTTTTAAAAGTCCGCTCTGTCTGGGTAGTTACGTTTCTCATTCTGAAGCTGTTTGTCCTGTAGTATCTGTTAGCCATTGCAAACTTTCATCAGGACAGCTATTCAGAAATGCTTGTATTATTGCACACATTTATGTCTTAACATCACCCTTATTTATTGATATCCTATGTTCTCCATAACAAGTGATCAATCTTCAGACCTGCCGTAACACACATTTCCACTTGTCCCACATTCTTCCTGAATGAATTAATGCCTGGCAAAGCTCAGGTTTGTTTCCCAAAGCTGAACATTGAGAACAGTGTGCACTGTCCCCAGATGTATCATTCCCTCCTGTCATCATGCACAATGGGAGGTGTTGCACTAGTGCTGTGATTCATTAACGTTCCCAGCATGCTCCTCTCCTCGTTGTTATAAAATACCAGGGATGTAATTGGCATTCAAACATTACAGAGTTCCATAGAGCAATGTTGGAAGATCAGATGTATACATCTTATGAAAACAGGAAGACCTTTTTATTAGTCATGCTTCCTAACAAAGTGCAATATCTTTGGTGTATGAGCTTGGTGTGAAAATAGACATGTGCACATATATGCTCCCTTCTGTCACCTCCTATGGGTTAATAGGTGATGTTCCTCTTTCTTCTCATCTAGTTTCTATAGTAACACCCTGAAGACTGGTGTTTTAGCTTTTAAGATGTAAAAAGCTAAAGAAGCATGCAAGCCTTGCATTGCATGTTGATCAGTTAACATAATCCTTCCTTTACAAGTGCTATAGCTTATAGCCTGCAGACACCACCCTTCCAAAAGACTATGGTGACAAAGCTCATCTCCACCCACTATGCATACACAAGACCTTCAATAGTGCCCCTGTGCTGGTAAATTAACTTCAGAGCACATAGATATGTCTTGGCCTCAGTGGTGGCCTGAAATATTGTAACTGTGCATCCCTCAATCTGGTTACTTGAATTGCTTCACTCAAGGCATGCAATATAGGCAATTATGCTTCCTTCATTATTAGACTGCCACCTGACCCTTTCACCATCATTACTTTGTCACATCCAGCTAAAGAGAGTGGATCCATGCCAAATGCTGCAAGGGGCAGGCCTGTGGTACATGTACACAAGCATGTTGTTCCAGCTGTATCAGATCAATAGAGAAGACTTTTAAACTGTGGCAGTACCTATCGACTGATGCCAGGGGCAATGTTCGATTTAATAAACACACAATTAAAAACGTAATGGCTCAGAGAGCAATGCCTGACCCTAGCTAAGTCTGATGAGCTTCCATAAAGCTCATTAGAAGGAACTGCTTTAAACTGTTTTTTTTTTTTTGGGGGGGGGGGTTGTTTTAAAGTGCTTGGTGTTGACAGGCTCTGTTTTGTGAATGAGGCATCCATAAGAAACAAAAGTTACATTTGGTTGGGTTTGGATTTAGAGTTTCCAACCAAAACATCATGAAAAGGGCTCCAATTTTCTTTACTATCTGGATTTATGTGAACGGAATTATGAATTATGTTTTGCATGAAGGCAAAAAAAAATAATGTAAAGGCAGTTCAAAGTTCAGAATTTCAGAATTATGATTTTATTAGCAGGAGGAACTTGCTAATAATTAATCAATTTAAAAGAAATATTGATTTGCATGGGTTCTATTATTTTAAGAAACTTAAGGTTTTGTCCTGAATGTCCCTTGAGGCAGATAATTTATTGGAATTGTTTGGAGTAAAGTTTTATTATTAGCCAAGAACCATAATCTCTTTCTTGATAATATTCTGACAACACGAAAGGTCTTCTGTAAAAAGGCAGTGAGAGGTTATCCACATCAGTTGTAGCATTGAAAGCTATTGCCATTGGCCGGCAGACTGATAATGTAAGCAAAATATCAATGCCTGCTACTGATTTGTGAATTTTCACTCCAGTGAGATAATACCGGACTGAATTTTATACCTTCAGGGCATAGGATGACAAATTTGCACAACCATGTCATGAAAACCATGCATTTACGCCAATGGATCCACAGGGAAAGTGGTCCTATAGACAAGGATGATACACACTAGAGAGTGCTATGAAATGGCCGTGATTTTGTCTACTATATTTCATTGCTCTGCAGAACAGGTTTCACGATACAGCTGTTTGAATAGGCTGACTAACTTTATATGCATGGTGAACAATAAAATACTGAAGAGTCCCAGTCTACATTTTGCTGTTGTTTGAGGAGAGCTTCAAGACCTTTTATGAAATATTTCTACATTACTACCTAGGACTCAAAGACAAAATCAGTTCATTGTTCTACACCAACTATTTGGTCTGGAAATCTAATGCAGTTATACAGGATTATTAGTAGTACAATTATTTTTAGCCAAAGCCTAAACATCCTGTGATAAGAGTCTTTACAAACCCCATGCAAATATAAGGATACAGACAACGTGCTTGTGTGAAAGGCCATAGTCAATCTTCCTGCAAAGGGAGTTTCAAGGCAGAGGTGTGTGCGTCTTGCTGGGATTTTTAAAAAGGTGGTGTTGGTCAGTATGTAACTTCCTCTGACTGCTAATGAGCCTCATGGTTAGACCTTGTCCTCTTTTATCTTTTGCTAGTCATTAACAGCCTGTTACAGAGGGATTTAATGATGCCAGCAGTCATTTGGTATTCCACATCCTCATAACAATGGGATCGTATAATTTTGTTCTATTCCTGCCTAGAGGCAGGGTGAAATTAACCGGAATGTCTGAGTTAAAGCTTTTGATTTCAAAATAAACTGCATGTTTTCCACAATGACCATTAATTGTACGATTAGTAGACCATTCTGTGTTAAATAGAATCCATGCATGTATTCAAAATCATATTTAGATTCACTTTTGACTCCTCTGAATTAGCCCATGGCAACCTTAGTAGAGATCTACCTCTTAGCTGGTATTATAGACTAAATTTACTGACACTTTCACATTTTAAGTATGATGCTGCTATGCCTGTGACTGTAGCCCACGTGATTCACTTCTTCATCTGAGCTCTCAAGCATAATGAGCTGTTTAAATGCATGAAAAATTAAATCAAATTCATTGTTTAACATTGTAAGTGTCTTTCCACAAGAGTTATGGGATAACCAATGCTTACTCAGTACAAAATGTAAAAGAACAAATTTGTTGATTTTTTTTTTATAATTATAAATCCATTTTGACAGAGCATTCCTTGCCAGGACAGATTCATAATTTATGTCAAGACTGAAGAGTTTATGATGTGCGTCCAAATGCTGTACCACAACCAACTCAATCATAAATTTGAGGAATGAAAGCAACTACAGAGGCATGCATAACAATTTCTTCCAGGGTTCCTGACTTTCCATATTTCTTAAAACTGCAACAGATTTTTATATACATGTAAAAGTCTTAAATGTGCAAGTAATGGTCTTCAATGGGAAAGGCCAGAGGAGATTTTGTCTGTCTGTCTGTCTGTCATCAGCTTGTTCCTGTTTGAAAAGGAACAAATAATCCAAATGATACAAGTTACTGTTCCTTTCTGGTACCCAGTAAATATTCTTATGGGAAATGCACTCAAAAGCTCCTAAGTGTTTCTTTATTTTAAAGAGAATGGATAAGTCATTTGAAATATCTTTTTAACAAAAATTTGAAAGCCTTAAAGTGCTAAACTGGAGATCTTCCCAGAACTACAGAGAAAACAAATGTCATTCCCTGAAAACGTTTTTTCCTCTAATTAGGTTTAATTCAGCACTCATTTCCGCACTGATTGCCAAGGTTCTGACCATAATCCACAAAATGTATTCTGAGTTGCGAGATCCAGGGCAGCTAAACTGAACGGCACTGGATTTTACTTTATTAAAAAATAAGTGTTTCACATGCAACACTGAATCTTTCCATTCATTTTCTTCTTATGATGTTGTCTTATTCCCCAGACAATAACAGAATTTCATATAGTGCTTTAATAATTCCATCTTCTATATGCAGGACATGCAGGGAGACTAATCAATACAGTTTTTGACTGCAGTTAATCCTCACAATTAAAACAATCATTAAGAACAGAAGGAGAACGGTCTTCAAACATGAAGAGGCAATGGCTGTGAGCATGTACAGTACATACTCACAAATGCACATCAGACTATGTAAAGAATTATTTTGAGGATTAACATAACTCTGTAACATGTCTACTTGTATGGACTGGTATATAATGACCTGTAAATGGTGCATGATCCTATTTCCAGTTTTGTCTCGGATTCAAATTAAGGCAAAATCGAAATATTTCTTCTCCTACAAAAAAGCAATGAACTAAGAACATACATGGAAATGCTGGAGCACTTTTGTCCTGTTCTTCTCCATCAGTGTGGCAAAACACTCTTCATCCTTTGTCTTCCAGGTGGTGAGTTTTGCTAGCCTGAAGTACGACCGCTCATACAACTGGATGGTGCTGTGTGTGCTCTGGTGTTCCATCGCCCAGTCCATTCTACTTCCCATGTTCCTCTGGGCCTGTGACCGCTACAGAGCCGATATCAAGATGGTGTGGGAAAAGTGTGTAGCCATCATGTCCAACGATGACGTTGATGAAGGTAAACAGACACTCAGTTGAGGGGGGTACTTCTGAGCTGACTCCATAGATTTGTATAGGTAATTCATACTATACCAAGCACATACTATACGGAGCTCAGCCTGGTTAACACACACACCATTTGGGGAAAATGCTCATCTTTAGTATATCTGCTGTCTAACTATTGATATCCAAGCTTGTGCTAACCACGTAGTCTGAGAATTTAAATAGTACACACGAAAATAGAATTTAGTTATCGATGCAAAATGCTATTTCACTATTACTTAGGATCTGTCCATGTTCCATACGGAGAAAAAACAATATTTAAACTTAGAGCAACCAAACATTAACTGAAAGCCCGTGATATCATTTTTTTTTTCAAACTTAACAGTTCTCATTTTTTTCAAAGGGGTTGTCATGTACTGTAGAAAAGAGCTCAGTTATATAAGGGTTGATTACTGTTTACAAAGCCAATTTTTTTACTTGCATGCAAAGCTTAATGCCTGTGCAATAGCCTATCTCATCCTTCCATCCCACAACTGGGCCTACATTTGCCTCTGGCTCAACTTTAACATAATTAATTTTTTTTGTAAATTTTATCATTCTTGAATTCCACTGTTTTATTTATACAACTTTCATGTAAAATGATGGCTCTGGAATATTGTTTGTTGAGTGTTGTATGTGGTGTTAGTGCAGTTGTATATTTCAGGTCCTTAACTTTTAACCTTGGTTTGCTAACAGTACGGCAGCAGGAGCCCAGCACAGTTTATCTTCAACGAGTCCTCTTAAGTCAGGATTTTCAGTCAGGGTCAAGATATATTCCTAGAAATTCACGTAATGTTAGGTTCTGTGTGGCATAAAACGTTTGTGTTGTGGAATTGCTTTGATGTTAAATTCTCCCTCAATTGTTAAACAGTTCAAAATAGCAAAAGAACAGGGAAAAGAAAACATGATTTGTTTCTTTTATCTATATGTCTGTCTGTCTGTTTGTGTATCTGAGCACTTTTTAAATTCTGATATATATGCTTTCTGCATTTGCAGAAAACAGCAAGGATGGTGGCATTCATCCGGACTTAATATATGACAGACCATATGACTATAGCTCTGCTGCTGATATCATGACGGTAGACCGTATTGCCAAGTATGAATTCTCAACTTTAGAAAGGGGGGTCCCCCAGGCATATCCATTGAGAGAACTACAGGAAGATAAAATGCAGTATTTGCAGGTATATTTCCATTGATCTTTTTTTTTGCCATAAATTTAAACTTATTTTTGAATGAACTCCTTTATTAACAGCATAAAAGTGCATGTACTGTACAAAATAGCCCTCCTCTAAAATAATAAGAAAATATGTTTCTTTCTGCTGGTGTCGTTTTACATTCAGAGTAATATTATGAAATATTATGAAAGCCACCTATATGTGATGTGTAAACGAGGAATTGTATAAGAAGTATGAGAGTAGCATTTTCTGGCTTGCTAATACTCTGCAAATATGGCCAACTATACACTTTTGCTTCCACCCAAAGTATATGATTATGGAGGTCTTGCAGTGAACTAACAAGCTGGGATGTCAGGTTTTGTCATGCATGGTGCTTAGAGACGATGGGGCATGCTGAAGTCAACTGGCCATTTTTGTGTTGTTGGTTCAAAGACAAATGTGCAAGGACTCAAAAGTAGGATGGTACCATGAGATAAAATTGATTATGAATATTCTATGATCTTCCAGTGCTTTAACCTCTCAAGAACAGCCTTTAATAATCTGATCTTCGACTGCTCCAAAAGGAATGAAACAAGTATCCATAAATAAAACTAAACATTTGTGCCAACATAAATAAATGAGCTAATACCTACATTCCATTCCATTCCATTAAGCTGGTCTGCGGTAGAATTTAAAGCTACTCTCATCCCACGAATCTGACACTAAAGTGTACCAAATACAATCTTTGAAGGTTGCTGTCCTGCAGGTTTTATAGGTCCCTAAAATAAATAAAAGATGTTTAAAAGACTGGTCATCATCACATCTATGACCTCACAGAGAACGCGTCCACAAAGTATCCTTCGTGACAGTTGTGCAACGAGAGCTTTTTTTTACTATTCAATCTCGTCATAGCAGCACATTAAATTTCTACCTTCACTCATTTGTAATTCCCAAATTCATTTTTTTTAATGTGGTAAAACAAACAAGGAGCATCTAATCCCAAAGCAGTGATACCTGAAGTGCTATTGAGTATATTAAGAAGTGATTAAAAGTGATCATAAAACATTTCTGGCCTATTGACAACTATGACAATCACTGTATAGGCATAAGAAAATGTTAAATTAGGTAAATGTAAGATCTTTCAGAGTGCATAACTGAAACCATTGCAATCATGAAGCTCTAGAATGGGACTGCCCTGACACAGAGTTGCCTGTGTCACCCACCTTACCTGCCAGTCATTCACCACAGTGCTCTGTTTTCAGTGTTTTTTCTGAAAGGAAGGCCAAGGACAGTTAACAACAGCCAAGAGAGACAGTAAAACACAACCGATTGAACAAATTAAGCTGGAAAGAGCCCCAGATAGTACATTTCTGAGGTTTTGCAATAAAGACCTATGAAGAAAAAAATGCAAAATGATAAATCATTTGCAGGCACCAATATGCCTCCAAGCGTTCTGTCTGAGTGTTACCATGTGGTACTTGCAACTACCAGGCTGATTCAGAGGTACAAGGTCCTGCTGTTCCACTTTGCCCGCCACAAAATGGCCAAATGACTCCAGTTCTGATGTTCCTTCACTTCCTTTTTCTGCAAAACTCATAATTTATATTAAGATGGCAGCTTTACTTTAGAGGTAAATTACTAGTTGAACCATTACATTACTTTGAGAACACAGAGATAGGTACAGTAGCTATCATTTCATGGCATCCATTCATTCGTATGTTTTGAAAATTTCATGAATACTGTTGCATTCACAAAATGCAGATTGCTTCTGTGGTGGGGGGCCTTCGGGACTAAAAATAGGAGTAGTTGTGGTAAGTCTCTGGTGTTGGCTTTAATCCTGTGTTTTTTATATGCACCTCATTTGTAATGGATTATGTGCTTTCAAACACCTGAGGCACTGGCCATTTATGAAGAACATTCCATGAGTGTGCACAACATTACAAATTCATTAAGAGCGACTTTTCCTTTCGGCATGCTTTTCTTGTATTAATTCCAGTATGAGAGGTGTCTAGGAAATATGAAGAATCACCCTATATATCGGAGAAAAGATACAGCCACATGTGCCTTTCCAGGCTTTCCAGTAGGGACTTTCCAGTATAGTCATTGACTTGTTTGCTTTCTTATGTCAGAGACCAAACGTCTGATAAAGCTCGTACAGCTACAGTTTGTTACAGCCTGTTAGAGAACATTCTCCCCTCCAACAGAGACACACTAAATCCAAGTAAGATTTCCAACTATGATTTTAAATCCAAGCGATACAACGAAATGGAAAAGATAGGTATTCCATCATATAGTCTGCCTATAATTATATACATTCTGATTCTTCATTATTTATCATAAATACTGGAATTTCAGTGTCACAAGCATGCATGTTCTATAGTACTACTACTGCTAATGGCTTGACTGCTTTTATACTGCTTCTTATGACAGCAATATTAATGATATATCCTAAGGTTAATAATATAAATGTAATGATTAATAATACCCACTGTAACTTGCCTGGTTTAACACGTTCATGTTTTGAATGCTGGTATTAGTTGTATTTTGAAGATGCAGAATTCTTATTGGATATTCTGCATCATGGTAGAAAATTTCGGAGATGGAAATTTTCTATGGCTTTCCTATGGATTCAATGGACTTTCCTTCCACTTTACTTCATCATCCTCATATTATGTCAATGCAGATGCTTTGCTGCCTTCTGCTGGTATCATTTTACATTAACAGCTACTGTATCTTCTCCTGTCTTTCTTTCACACCGGCCCTTGTTCACTTATTTTAAAAGAACCACTATAAGAGGAAATACCAGAGCCAGGACTGTGGCACTCTTTTCTTGCATATGTTAGGGACATTTTCTTGCTAAAAAACCTATATTATGTTAATGTTTTATAAATTAATGATTAAGATTTTATGAGTATAGCAGTTTTATTTGCATTCCTGGGGGTCTAGAATTCTAATAATTCCAGCCTTAGTAATGCAATTTAACTTCAGGAAGTTTTTCCTTTCTTTTTCTTGAGCTTTAGTGTGAAAGGACTTTTTTAAATAATGCAGCAGCTCTAACGATTCTTCAAAGACATACTTGAAAATGTTATGCTTTAAATAATAGATGGGTTGAGGAAGAATATTACAACTATGATGGAAAGGGAGCTTAAGTAAAGATTGAAGGCGTATTATAGAAGTTTATAACCAATGCATAACACAGGGTATTAACATAGCACAATATTTAAAAGAAAGCACTGTTTTGTATACGTCTAGTACAGTTAACATTACTATGGTGCTAATCTTGTGTGAAGATCCACCTGAGAACAGTAATGACAGTGTTCCAGAGGCTTAGTTAGAAATCCAATGTCCAATAGATCATATAGCCTGGCTATATAGCCATATAGCAGATTTCTGCTGTATATTGTATGAATATACCTACTGTAAAAAGGTCTAATTGACTATTTCAACTTAAGGTCATCATCCCACTGGGATGAACAGCTGCAAGCTTAGTGTGATGCTACATGGCACATGAACATAGCAATCTTTTCTAGCGAGATAGATCACTATTAGCTGTAACTATTATAACTTGTAGGCTGTACAGATCTGCTAGATAACTATTAGGTAAAAGCTGGTTGCCTGCTTCCTTGTCTTGTGCCAGGTGCCCCCTACAAGAAGATACTCCCACGACGAAACCGACATGTGGACCACAGGCCAGATACCTTCCTACCTCCATCGCTGGGGGTCCACCGAGGACATCATTGGGATCCCCCGCTACAGCTCTCCTCGCCACGAGAGGCGGAGAAGCAGCCTCGCCTCCTACCACGAGGAGAACCTCCCCTACCGCAAGCGGAGGAAATCCGAAGAAAGCGTTCACTCCCTCAAGCAGCTCCCGAGGGAGGAGCGCTACGAGGAGGACTTTAAGTGCTTCAGCCGGGACGAGGTGATCAACTTCATCGACGAGACCCCACTGCCCAGCCCCATGAAGAGCCCCCTGCGGACCTCCTCCGTCTCCCTCGTCCCGGACGCCTACGAGCAGCACCTGGTCCTCTACCCACACTTCCCCCTCACCGACTTCGAGCGGGAGCCCCACGCCCTGCGCCGCTTCTCCGAGCAGGGCCAGGGCTGCTCG